GCACTGGGTACAGTCAGAAGCGCGGGAGGGTGAGAGAATTCACCAGAGCCAGAGCGGGGAGCAGAGCAGGCAGAAGGACCGAAGGACACTGCTGAGGGGAGCAGCGGGCGGCAGGAGAGGTCTGCTCGCCATGTGGGACCCTCCTCCGGTGGCCGGGGAGCAGCCGGGGATCGAACCGGCGCTGCAGAGGCTGCGGGCAGCTTTGCAACCCAGCGCTCAACCGCTGCACCACTGGGGAGGCCCCTAGAAATGTATTTCTTGCTCATAAATATCTTTGGGTCAGTGGCCCACGGCTGACAAGTTACTCAGAACACAGGATTCTGACCATTTTCCTTTGCCAGCCTCTTGTGAACTGAGATGCCTGCCCTGGGCTCACCGTCATAGGGTCGTTGCAGGAAGGAATTTGGTGGGGGGACTAAAAAGGGAGAATTGGGGATGTCGTGTCCCTGCAAGGGCCTCACCCCAACATTGCACGTGTCCACTTGGAATTAGTTACTTCCCCCAACTTAAAAGGGGCCTGGAAAATATTGAATTTATCTGGGCGACTCTGGGTCAAGACATAAATTCTACCGTGATTAGATTATTGTATGTCACGCTGAAGGGTCGCATGTGAAGTGGTGGGAGGGCCGGGGAAACACACAGTCTCAGATCAGACGTGCTGGGATGGGTCACAGCAGCCCTTTCCACACGCTGCACCCGTGCCCTCCCCACCCCAACCCCAGTGCTCCCGTCCTGAGCTTTTCTCCTCCTTCCCTGGTGTCCTCCTACTCAGAGACCCCTAGAGACCCGGAATCCCCTAAAGCCTTGTGCTTCAGTGTGATTCTCTGCTCGGCCGCCCGAGTGTCACCAGGAAGCTGTTGGAATTACAGCCTCTGACTCACGCCAGACCTAGAGTGTCAGAATCTTCATTTTAACAAGATTTCCAGGAGCTTCCTACACACATAAAATTCTGGGAAACACGGCGTCTTACAGGGCAGTCACTCAGGACCCGGAGACCCCATGTATCCCAACCCTGCACCCCTGCTCCTGGTTCCCACATCTAGCGCTGGAGCAGACTTGGGGAAATGCTGGGGTTCTCGCTGGGTTCGATAAGACTGCATGGGCTCTAAAACAACCCAAAGATTTGACTTGGCTTTTCCTTAAAACGATTTTAACTTTTAAACACTGTAGGGAAAAAAGAGAAAACATTTTCGAAGTGTTTTGAAGACGACCAATGTATTCAGTTGTGCTGTCAAAATAACATATTTTCGGATGTAAAAGGAAATCCTTGCTCTGTCTGTGTGTAATTAAGTAGCATCCATAGAGGACAAAGTCAGCTGCAGCGACCAAACTAATCGGGTACCATTTGCCTGATTCTTATATCTGTGAATATCAATTTTCTCAATTCCTTGCAATTAAAATCAACTATGGAAATAAAAGAGGTCCTCTGGGTAAAATAACCTGGCAACCTGGCAGCCGTCACCCATCACCCTGGATAGAATTGCTGCATGGAAACAGCTCCGCTGTCCACACTGATTCATTTTATATTTGAACTTTTTTAAAAATAGCTTGTTTCTTGTATGCACTGGGGTGTGAATACATTTCCTTTGAAATTAAATGCATTCTGAGCCTACGGTATTTTGGAGACCATTCCCGTAACAGAGAGGATGACTCCAGCTGAAGGCCCTCCAATGCCAGGGCTGTTTGGGGGTGCGCTAATGGGGAGCATCACCTCTGGGGCCCTCTGATTACGACAAATGACACCTGCCGACTTCTCCCTGTGTGTCCCCGACCCCGTTCAAGTAGAACAGCTGAACCGTTCTCATTCCTTTTGACGTGATGAAACTTGCAAGCTCAGACATGTTATGAAGCAAATTACACATTTCCGGTGGCCTCGTAAAATAGTTCACTAGAGCAAGAGTTTGCATTTAGGAGTAATATCACATGTTTAAAAAAATCTCCACTTTGCAAAGTAAAAGAGGTATTTCCTCTGAAGTGCTTCAGTTCCCTGGTGAAAGCACTTAGCATCACACTTCTCTCTTCCCTCTGGAAACACAGTGCTTGAGAGTGAGCTGAACACCTTATCACGCAAAGAATCATGGCATAAAAATCTCTAACTCTAAAAGAGACAGATGCTCAAATATTTACCAAACAGTGTGACAATATAGTGGTTGAATGCAAATAGTTCCATGGGACTATCGGAGAAGAAACCAGTCACTAAGAAGGGGGAGCTATTCAGATTTTGATAACTGTTCCTAATTATTTTTAATATAGCAAAAAATATTAGGGTTTTCAATGCCATTTTAATGAATTTAATTTGACGATAAAACCTTTCTCACCACAGAGTGAAAATGCAAGCAATCAGCCTAAAGATAATGTAAATTTTAAAAATATAAGTTACAAGAAATAGGCATTAAACATAAAATATTATAGTCTCGTTTACATCAGATCAGGAGTCTTACTATTGAATTCTGAAAGTGCTCAGTTAACCTGACTTGATGGTCAGCTGTGTCTCAGGTGTGTAAAACCCACTAATCTTTTACGTTTTTGAGATTCGGATTTTCTGCTTTGTGCACATTTAAATTCCAACCTGGTTTTTCCTTGCCACTCAGTAGACTTCTGCACTGTTTCCCCCTGAATTAATTGTTATAATGAGCTGATGTAAATGACTTTCACTATTAGACTGAGCTAATATTCACACACAACAATTTAGAAAGTAAATACCCCACACAAGGCCGGCGTGTGCTGAATTGCAAAGTTAACAATCAGGATGTTTTTCACTTCCATGGCATTTTGGAACTTCCGTCCTGTCGCCACCTCCCACCATTGTGGACTCGGGAGCTATGTGGAGGTCCCTCCTGCAGAGACCGCCGTCCTTGCCTGGCTAAGAATGATTTTCAATATTTTAATTATAAAAATGCAGCCGTTTTAAAATCCAGGTGAAATATTCTAAACTTTATCAAGCCCTTTATTTAAATCCTACCCATAACTACTCTAGTACCCAAGTTCCTGTAGCATCTCATGTCTTCTTTCGGACTCATCCAGTTCTGCCTGGTGCTGTATTTCCCGTGAGCCTCCCCAGCCCATCCCAAAAGGCAATAAAGTCTTTGGAAAAGGAAGACATTGTGGTGGCCCAGGTAACACCAAATTCGTATGAAATATTACTACTCGGGCCTCCCTGGTGGCACAGCAGGTTGAGCGCAGCGCTGTGAGGCTGTCCAGCCTTTGTGGCACAAGTTTGATCCCTGGCCGGCCGGGGAGATACCCACATGGTGCGGCAGACCTCCCCTGACTCGCCCTCTGCTCCCCTCAGCAGTGTGTTTCGGTACATCTGCCTTTTCTGCTCCTTGCTCTCTCTGGTGAATCTTCTCACCCCCCGTGACTCTGGCTTGTACCCCACTTCTAAAAAAAAATTACTACTCAATAAATGGGAATTTCCCAGCCCCCATGATAAATAACATCACGCCTTTACTTTTCTTGGCTCCCCCACCAAGCCATGATATTCTTCCTTTTCCTCCTCTTATTATCCTGGCCATTCATTTAGGCTGAACCTGAAGTTTAATCATGCCCCACACCATGCCCCTCTTCGTATGGACTCTATGGTGCCTCATTTGACCCTGTGCTCACCGCCCTTCTCTTACGGTTTTTGTATCTACATTACATCTACTTTCCCAGACTCGAAAGCCTTGAAAGACAGTGACTAGTTCCTTTTCTGGCAGGACTGTGCATGTAGCAAGTGCTCCATAAATATTCCTTGTGCAATTAAGGTTTACAAAGATTTGTGCAAGAACAACCCTTCTACACAAGGATGGGGCACTCTGTGCCGACCTGGGCTTCACCTGCTATGGTGGAATCAAGAATGTCAGAGTTTGCAGCAGGAAGCTGCCATTCAGGGCATCTGATTAAGGGGCTGCACAGAGGATGGTTCTCAGCCCACTTCCTGTGGACTGAGAGTGGTGATTCTGTTGTTGTAATCTGTGGACTTCTCTATTTTGGAGCATTTCCTGTTAAAATCTGGAAATGTTCTGTGAACCCCAGCACTTACTCATCAATACCTTTGTTATTTGTGAGCATTCTAACCAGAATTATAAATTATAATCAGGTTGTAGGGAAGCCGGAGAGAGGGATTGATGGAAGGGCTAGAGGGGAGGTCAAGAGAAAGAAAAGCATATGGGCAGAAACAGGAGTGTCCAGGAATGGATTTCGAATTCACTCTTGCTAGGATCAGGTCAAGCTGTGAAGCTGTACTGGGGAGACTGTGATTGGCTATTCAGAGCTCCCCTTTTGTGGCCTCTGTGTCCTGCCCACCAGCCTTCTAGTGAAGGAATATAATCTCTAAACCGTCAATCTATTTATAAGATAAGTTAATTATTACATTTTTTAAATGAGAAATTGAGGCCCAGAAAAGTTAAATTCCATCTTCACAATTGGCTGTTAATAGAAAGACAGAGATGTGAGCACATACTGCATTTCCCCCTATATTGTCCTTGCTGTCTGTCTAAGTAGGTGACTCTCACTAGCCAGGTGGGCAGGTGGGTAGGGCAAGGAAAACCAATGTTTTTTCCTTGCTGTCACCCTGGCATCATTTCTAAAACTGAAATTGCTGTGAAAAACTCAGTGTTACCCCTGTCGGACCTGGCACTGGCGTTAAGGAGAATCGGACAGGAAACAAGATGGCTTATCTTCCATCCTCACCGGGAGGAAATTTAGCTAGTGCCTTTGTTTTTGAGCAAAAGGAAAAGAAAATGAATGTGTGATATGCAAATGAATCTCTCAACTGTTTGTTAATTTCTACTGTTTACTCAAAAATGGGAACCACCCGGCCTGTGATACATCATCTTTTGTGCGCTTGGCACCTTCCATCATGAATCCTATTAATCTGCTTAAACTAACAAGGATTAATTGCCTTGGTAAGGCAACCTGGCATTGAAATGATATATTGCCCAGACAGCTTGGAATTTGGCCACTCATAAATCTCGTTGGCTTGTTGGTTTATTTCTGTTTGTCTCTTTCCCTGACAGATGTGTGCCCAACCACTGCGAGCATGGCGGCAAGTGCGCGCAGACCTGGGACAGCTTCAGATGCACTTGTGATGAGACGGGGTACAGCGGGGCCACCTGCCACAACTGTGAGTGCCAGTTCCTCTCACTCTCAACCGTGGTTGAGAGGAAATCCTGGGACTCTGCGAGGCTTTCAATCTCAGCAACCTGAGCGGTCCACACACTAAATCGCTTGATTCCAGGGAACCCAGATCCTGTGGTTTCTTCTGCAGAATAGCATCCCGTGGTCACAGACAGCCCCTCGGAGCTACTGAGCCAACGCTTCCCATGTCCCCCAAATATGTCCTTGAGATTGGATTGCTGACCTTGGACTCGCCTCTCAGGGTCTCAGCCGTGTGTCTGGATGGATGGTTTGGGATGTTGTGCTCGTGTGTGAAGCTCTAACTGGGTCCCCACTTAACGCTTCAGCAGAGACGCAGACGGTGTGATTCAAACATTTAGTTTCCGCATGATGGTGTCTTGTCTCTATCACAATGATTGGGCTACGTTTTTTCAGATCAGAGTTGAACAGTGGAAGTTCATTGAAGTTGTAGATCTAGGAAAAAACATATGAAGGCAACATTTTCTAAGTGTTAAAAATAAGTAGAGATGCTGGGATGCTGGGAACACACAATAACACCTTGTCGCACATAACACCTTTAGCCTGGAAAGTTAAACAAAGAGTAAATCCTTGTCATTCAAGGAATATTTTAGAAGGAACATTCGTTAACTCTATATTGTTATATCAGTTTCCCAATGATGTATTATTTACAAAGCACTTTTGAAAGCAGATTTGCCATAAAAGTCAGTTTAAAGGACATCTGTTGAGGAGCCAGGGGTGGGGGTAGACAAGGTGGGGTAGGGAGAAGGTCAGGGAGAGAGAGGGATTCAGGCTCCATCAACATGCTGAAACACGGGAACGCTGACATCTAGACCTTCTCTTCACTCTTAGGACAGATGTCATCAGAGTAGATTTCTGGGGACCGTAAAAATGCAAATAGCACTCTCAGCCTCTGCTGTCATAGTGCTATACGGTAGGAAGTTGTTTTCAGAATATATGGTCAGGCCTCAACTAAGAATAAGTATTTGTAGTTTAATTTCTTGCACTTATTTATTTAGGGAGACATTTAAAAACAAAGATAAAAGAATTAGAAAATTAACACTAGTGGGAAGATGTGTAAGAAACATATAAACTTACTAGATTGTGTAAGAAACTTACTAGATGTGTAAGAAACAAACAAACTTACTAGATTGATCATCTGTGAAGCATTTATAAGTAGGTATAAGAAAGGAAATGAATAAAAAAAACTGATTGATACTGAAATTAATTGGAATACATGAGTTATAAGTAAAATGTATCCCTTTTCAATTACTTCAAAATGCTTGAATTTTGCATATGATGCAAAATTTATAAGCTGCTAGAATTAGGTAGATTGGATAAAACTAAGTATCTTCACTCTTCAGTATAATTTGTATTATAAATACTACCTTTAACTACAACAGATCTTTGTTCTGAATATGGAAGTTTAAAGACAAATAACAAGTAATTGGTGTATGCGGAGATTTCCCTCTCAGTGACCACTTTTTTATGTAATTTTTAAAATTTTATTTTATTTTTGTGTGGAAGAATTGGGGTGTAGGCCAGGTGTGGGGGCATGAGAGGATCCAGCAGAGAAAGAGTAGGGAGCAGAACGGGCCGATCCACTGAAATACACTGCTGAGGGGAGCAGCGGGCGAGACAGGAGAGGTCTGCTGTACCATGTGGGTCACCTCCCTGCCCAGGGATCGAACTTAGGCCGTAGAGGTGATTGAGCTGATGAGACTTAACCCCTAGACCACCAAGAAGGCCCTCTGATATTGAATAAAAAAAAAAAATAAATTCCTTTATTTTTTTAATAGCAGATTCTTTCACAAAAATACGTGGCAAAGAAAAAGACATTTTAAGAATGTATTTTTTTTAATTTGCATACATGCTCTGGCTTAATGGTTGAGCAAGTGTTAGAGTTGTGCTTAGGCGTGATCTAGTGGCCAGCTCCAGAGATGGAAGAGGGACATTGCCACCTCCCTGGTGTGTATTCCTAGTTGTTCCTTCTTCCATTTTTGTGTCTGCTAAAGTATAAACACTCATTAACAATGGAATCATGAGCCTTTATCTTCCACAGAAGAGGCCAAAATCTCGAAAATCAAGTGTGTGCATAGATAGAAGTTAGAAGGCTGCAGAGCATAATTCTAGAAAGGGTTGACTAGACAATATTTTGTTGTGAAAAATACATGTGGCTTACTGAAGGGTCAGTCCTTCTTAATAAGCTGAAAGACCTGATACATACTCCCATGGATTAGTTAACAATTAGGAAGATCTGATCTGAAACATAATAATACAAACATATGCAATGTGTGCCCTTTGGTCAATAGAGACAAATAATTTGACCCTGTGTTGGCCTGGAAAAAAGCCCCGAGGTGGGAACTGCTGGCTTCCATAGCAGCCGGAGGCTGGCTGGCTGTGTGCCTTTGGAACAAGCCCTTGGACTTCGAGAACTATCTTTACTCCTCTATTGGCTAGCTAGCTGGATGCTGGGAGCTCTTCTAGTTTAAAAATCAATGAGCTGAGTCTTCCTGCTGCTTATTCTGTTTCTGTGGCTTTGAATTTTATTGGTATTGTTATTTCTTGCAAAGGACCAAGCATCTCTTTTGAGAAATAGTTATGGTAGTTTCATAATAGTACTACTTTTGATAGCTAAAGAACAGCTAACTGAAGTCTAAAATTCAGCCTAACTCAATATTTAGCAGAGCTTCAAACATTGCAGCTGAACTACTCATTCAGCCCGTGTCCTGCACTGGCCTGGCTTGGTCAGGATGACAGCACTATCTCTGGCTGACCCGTGATCATCTAGGCTAGAGGCCGTCCTGTCTGGGACACAGATACCCTTTTTGGACAGGCCACACTGAGTTTGAATTTGGCTCCACCACTTACTTACTTGTCACTTTGGCATTTAAACTCTTTGAGCTTCAGTTTTCTTGTATTAAATGGGTATAGTGACAGCATCGCCTCATTAAGCCCTTGGGAGATTAATTGAGATGATTTATGGGAAACACTGAGAAGAGCTTTAGCATTTATAAGTGCTCAATACACTTGTGCCATTTCATCTATCTCATAGCAATTGTCTCTTTACTCTGAACTTCTGTACCAATAATTGTCGATACCACACCGTTTGTCACTTCATTTCATGCTGCCATCCATAATTTGCTATTCTTCCATGGAATTTGAGACTTACAATGAATAACTAGCTTCCTTATCTTTTTTTCAGAAAAAAAAAAATGAAGAAAATTAAGTGACTCTGATACATCCTAGGCCTGTATCTATTTGTTTCTCTGAATTTATTTCAAATATAATAGATTCATGGGCTTGATTAGGAGATTGTCCTTTACAAACCATTTTCCTGGGGAGTGAAGCTGTCAGCCTCTAGGTGAGGAAATCCCACAGGAAAAGTCCAAGGTGACTGGAGAGGGTCAGAGGAGGTGACTGTTATGTTTTCCTGTGTAGGTGTTTGATTCTGAATGAATTCCTAAGAACTGACTGGTGACTTCAGACAGTGACAGAGTAGGGTGACGGCGCTGAGTTGCGAGTATGGCAGCTCTCCAGCCCCCCTGTCCCCAGAGTGGAGGGAGGTACTTCTTGAGAGCAAAGCCTGTGATCACAGCTCCCATGTCCTCTCCGTGGTGTTCCCTAGGCACACTCTGTAATCAGGGCTCCAGCTACATAAGTTAAACGCTGTGGAGGAATTCAGTGGTAAACTGACACATTGTGCATCAGCGATGAGGAAACAGCGAACCCTGTTGAGACACATTCATTAAAGTCACTTATGAGACTCTATAGCAACGGTGGCAAAGTAAGTGCAGCAAAATCGGTCTCTTAGGTACCGTGTCGTCAACTGCTGCTTGTACCTGCTCTTCTAAAATACAGGTATGTCTAAATATTGATGCGTGAGTGGCAAAAATGTTTAACTTGTTGCAAAAATGGACTGATCCAGTCCTTTGATTTTGCGTGATGTTACGTGTGCGCCCTTGCTGCAGGGAGGTGGTCGAGAGGGAGGAGAGCGAGGACTCGACTCCGCGTTCTGCTGTCGCAGGAGATGCTCAGGCTACACGGTGTGCCGCTGGGCTTCCCCAGCTTGGGGACAGTGGCTGTGTCCAGTATCCCTAAGTCCTGATTTCTCAGGTCCTCTTGGCACACCTGAACCTGCCGATGGAGAAGCCAGCTCTCCTGACAGGTGCCAGGTCGCTGCAGCTGTGAAAGGGAGGTGCCTGGTGCCATCGTGTCTCATCCCGTCCCTGTCCTGGGGGCTGGATTGTTTTTTCTGCTTTTGAACAATCACTTAACCTCTCTGGGCTCAAGTTTCCTTTCGGGCTTTCGGTAAAACTTTTCATGGGCTTTGTCAATTTAGTAAACATCCTATCTTTCTGCAACTTTCTTTGTACCAATAAGTCTTTAAAAAGTCAGCCAAATTTCTGTCTGATGCTAAGCAGCTTAAAGATACTGAGCTCTGATAATTGACTCTCAAGGAAAAGAGCAGAGGGTGTCTCAATATTTCAGCCCAAGCAGTGAGAAGATTAAGAGCTTTATTAGCAAGTGTAATGGCTGCAGGGCTGATTTATGGGCACAGGGGGCAGCTGCTCTTTCTAATCTACACGTGGCCTCAAGGGGCCAGATGGTGCTTCTCAGTTATCAAATCTTCCAGTTCACCTCCTGCCCATCCTCTTTCCCGAGCCTACGCCGTGACCTACTTCAGATGCTCGTGTGCCCCCTGGTCTGTGAGGCATGACTGTGGGCACAGCCGCGGGACTGGGGGACACAGAGGACCTATGTTCCTACCAGCACTTACTTTTTTTATTCATTCATTCATATCCTGAGAGCTGACTCCATTCTGCATGTTGGATGGACTGGAGCATGAAGTAAAGACTGGCCAAAGGTGGGGTGTTAGAACCCCTCCAAAGAAATCTATAGTTTCAGTCAAATGAAAGCCCTTTCTTAAAAAATAAAAGTGCTGATAATCTTAATTCATTTCCAGATCTTTGGACCTTTGGGATTGTG